GTATTGCATGATCGTTGACGCATCCTGGATGTACTCTGGTATTCCCCTTCCTCCTTCTCCCTCGTCCTCATCCGCCTCCACCACTTCCTCATCATCACCATCATCATCAGCAGAATCCTTTTCATCCTCACCAATTTAATATTGGTCGTCGTCAGCACCATTGCCATCAACAACATCATCGTCACCATCGCAGTCACAAACTGAACCCATCTTACATCCCTTCACGTCGGTCCGTCCACCTCCTGACCCCACCAGCGGAAGAGGGGAAGAAGGCTTCCCCAACTGTGGAGACGTCCGATGGGTTAGGTAAGAGAGTGGCCCGGCAAAGCCGGCGCGCGCGGCTGCGGCCTCTTCCCGAAGCACAAAGGGCGCCGCGGACCGCCGTCAGCAACAGCGGGGGTTGCGCCGCCACCACCGTTGGGGAGTAGCCGCTGAGCGCCGGCAGTGGGAAACACGGGACAAGGAGGGACTGCAATGTATATTGGACCAGACGAACTCTACCTCTCCCCCCCCCCGCCACCACCACCATCTGCCATCTTCCCTCCGCCGCTCACTCCTCTGCTCCCTTCCGTCATTCGTAGAACACTTTGCTCTTGCTTCTGCTGCTGATGCTGTTGCTCCTCCTCCTCGTCCTCCTCCTCCTCGTCCTCGTCCTCTTCCTCCATCCCTTTCTTTACTGAACCATTCATCCTAGTCGGACCACCAGTCGTGCCGGTAGAGCGGGATGGGCGTTTCGCCTAAGACCTCCTTTCCGGTTCATGGCCACGAAACTTGAAATCTCCGACAGCTACAAAGAGTTAGGCTGGGTGGTTCTCAAAATGCGGGTCTCATTCAAGCGCCGCGCACATTTGTCTTCAACTTCGAACATCAGCCAGCGCAGGCTCCGAGTAGATCAGGAGACTGACATGAAGTGGACTGAAGTGGACCGAAGTGGACTGGACTAGAGTAGACTGGACTGGTGCGGAATGGAATCTACTCCGCGCTACTCTACTCGACCCTAGTATAGTTGACCGACTCTACTCTACCACATACCCTGCTCTACAAAATTCTACTCTGCTCGATTATACAATACTCTACTGTACACTACCCTATCCTAGCCTGTTTCCTACTCTACTCTACTCGATTCTACTCGATTATACTCTACTCGACTCGACTCTACTCCTAATCTTATATACTCCACTACTACGCTGCTCGGATATACCCTCCTGTACTCTATTCGACTGCGCTCTGCTCTCCTCTACTCTAGTATGCCCGATTATACTCGATATTATACTCTATCGTACTATACCCCGCCCTGCTCTACTCTACTCTGCTCTGCCCTGCTCTACCCTACTCTAATCTACTCAACATACTCATATTCTACACTACCCGATGTCCTACTCTACTACTCTGGTATAGCATGCTCTCCGACGCTCTACTCTTATCCTTCTCTACTCTACTCTGCTCCGTTGTACCTGGGTCTACTCTATCACTCTTCCTTATTAATATACACCCCCTCCCCCACCTGGCCGGCGGCCAACCTGGAACCATGCCGACTCCATGCGGGCCCGCCACCCACCATCCTTGTCACAAAACAATATAAATCACAGTGTGCCTCCACATTTGGAGCATGCGCGGCCAACCCGATGCGGCACCCCCCACCAGCCCTGTCAAAAAACAATACAAAGTGCACTTTTGGGCAAAGTCTTGAGTCATGCTCGTGAGGCCCGCGAGCACTCTGTATTGATTTTGGCAAGGACGGCGGGGGTGTCAGCATGTTCCCTGATGTGCGCAGGGCTACCATTCCTGACAAAAAACAAACAATACAATATGCACCTCGCGGCTAAATCTGGACCATGCGCGACCAGCCCGCGATCACTGTCAAGTGGTTTCTGACAGGGACGGCGGGGGTGGTGGCGCGTGGCCTGCTGTGCGAAGGCCCACCAGACACAATGATGGGCATTGATTTTCGACAAGGATGGCGGGGCCGACATGTTTCCCGATGTGTGCTGTCACGTGCGCAGGCGCACCTGACGCACTCTGCACGTGCCCCGAACGTGGCGAACCTGGCGCGGCTGGAGTGTGCGGCGCACCAGGCGTACTCGGAGCACGTGACGCATCTGGCGCACCAAGCGTGCCTGGCACGCTCGGGCCCCAGGGGTGCCTGGCGCGCGTGGCGCCCCTGACACGCGTGGCGCACCTCGTCCAAGCGTCGCGCACCTGGAGTCGGCTTTGGTTCCCAGCAGCTGTCCATCCAAAGACGGACCCTGAACATGTTCAGGCTCGGACGCTACTTGTGTGTGTTGGGAAGGCGGGTGGGAGAGAGCTAGGCGGGTTGCGGGCGGGTGGGTAGCTTGACCACGTAGCATACCATCTATCCTATTATACTCTGTTCTGCTCTGCCCTATCCTACCTTCCTTCATCCTCTTCCATATCATCGCCGTCGTCCTCTTCTTCCTCCTGCCCCCCTGGGCCTCGCCCCTCCCACACGCTTCGTCGAGCCTCCCCCTCGACGGCGGAAGGGCGGAGGGAAGCCACACGCCGATATGCGACGACCCTGCTCCCGCTCTGCCGCCGCGCCCGAACGCACCGGCGGCCCACGACGCGGGCCGCTCGGAGCACCCGCGCCCCCTATAGGGAGAACGAGGCCGGAGGCCAGCACGAAGTGATCGCACACGGGCTCTTCGGCTGGGCGTTTGTGCCCTGGGGCCCACCCTCGTTCTGTGCTCGATTGCGCTTTCTCGTCTTTCCCAGCCGCTCCTGCCTGGCCTGTCCCGAACTCGGCGCGTCGTCCTATGGGATCGCGACTCCTCCTCCTCCTCCTCCTCCTCCTCCTCCTCCTCCTCCTCCTCCTCCTCCTCCTCCTCCTCCTCCTCCTCCTCCTCCCTCCTCCTCCTCCTCCTCCGCCTCCTCCCTCCTCCTCCTCCTCCTCCTCCTCCTCCTCCTCCTCCTCCGCCTCCGCCCCTCCTCCTCCGCCTGCTCCTTCTCCTCCTCCTCCTCCTCCTTCTCCTCCTCATCCTCCTCCGCCTCCTCATCCGCCCCTTGGCCGGGGCGCACCCGAGTGGGTCCCCACCCCCGTCCTCCCCCTTCCCTCGCACCCACCTCGCCTGCCGAACATAGCAGCCCGCCTTTTTTTACCTCAGGGGGGCCTCTCAAGGCAGGTCTCTGAGGTCGCTGAAGCCCCCACGGGTCCGATCCGCGAAAGGTACTGCTGACCTCGGGAGCTTCCAGGGTGGCTCCGACTCAAGAGGAAAAGAAGCACACAGACACAATTAATCGTCGACTCCCCAGAAAATATGGGAAAAGATGGGAAGTGGCGGGGGAAAGTATGGGGAATGTGTTTATTTGTGACAATTAATTTCCCTACCTAGGCTCTGCCTAGAAGGGTTCTTCCTCTCTTGGCTTAAAGGGCCGGGAAGTGGGAACCGGCCCAGGTGGTTCCCCCGGTATCCGCCCCGCGGTTCCCCCAGTTACGTCCCCTTAGCTTAGCGTTGCTTATCTCAGATTAGCTTAGTTTGTGTCATCTTAGCTTAGCTTAACTTCATCGTAGCTCAGGTGATCTTAGTTTAGTTTACCTTCATCTTAGCTTCGCTGAGCTTTAGCATAGCAGAGCACTGCATAGCATAGCATTAGCATGGGTTTAATTCCCTACCTAGGCTCTGCCTAGAGGGTTAGCTTAGCTTAGCTTAGCTTAGCATAGCGCAGCTCTGCATCAGCATAGCATAGCATAGCATAACATAACATAGCCAATCATAGCATAGTATAGCATAGCGCAGCATATCATAGCATAGCACAGCATAACATAGCCAAGCATAGCATAGCGCAGCTTAACATAGCATATCATATCATAAAATAGCTTAGCATGGCACAGCGCATCATGACATAGCATAGTTGTGCATAGCATAGCATAGCATAGCATAGCGCCGCATAGCATAGCATAGCATAGCGCGGCATAGCATGGCATAGCATAGCATAGCATAGCATAGCATAGCAACTAATGCTGCTTTCCTAGGGGCTCCACCTTCTAGGTAGGGTCGCACTGGGGTAATTGTGTGTCCTTGGGCCCCTTCACTGACAAGGTCCTCGCCGATTCGTCTTCACCTCGGGCAGCCCCGACTGGAGGCAGGGTGCACTGCGCCAGCCGAGGAGCCCAGGCGTCCGTCCTTCCTAGCTCGCATGTCTCGTGGGCGCTGTCGTAGCCTCGCTACCCAGCCCGCTCGAGCTCACACTGCATCGTCGCCGAAAGTCATGACGCAACGCTGTTGATGTCTGCTGCACCTCATGCAGCGCTCTCGAGCTTGCCCGTGTATCGAGTCGAAGGACGCTCGCACGCTGGCTTGGCCAAAGCACTTGCTGCCAAGAACGAGATCGTGCCGACGCGCCAGGCCTTGCGCCATGGGAACCTCTGGCGTACTAGGCGGTATCCGGCACACCTCCTCGTCACGACCCGTAGCCATGTGGGCTCAAGTCGTTGGTGCTTGACAGGCGGCGCTACGCCTCAATTCGGGGCCTGCGGCATGGCGCCGACCGATGCGGTTGCTGCTCCGCCAGCTGCACGGGCGGCATGCGGAGCGGCAGTGGCGGTGCTCGAGGCTGGTGCAACCGACGTGGCTGAGGCGGCCGGTGGAGTGCGCAAGGACGAGCCCAGAGGCGAGCTTACCCAGGGCAGCATGGCGGCGGAGGCGGATGTGATCGTGTCCGACTCCCAGTCGTCCAGGCCGCAGGACGAGGAGAGCGAGTACGAGGCTCAGCAGCAGCTCGACGACATCGCTGTCAAAGAGCGCTGTGTGGTGAACCAGGCGAAGCTCGAGGCCAACTACGACTTCGTGCACTACTGCTTCACGATTCGTAAAACCCTGCAGAAAGGATAAGCTGCAGGGCCAGTTCAAGTACGGCAAAAAGGAGAAAATCGGGAAGGCGGTGCAGGACACTCTCACCTGGTTAGACCACCCCAAGAGCGCCGACGTTGACGGGCTCGAGGGCAGGCAAAATGAGTTAGAGGGCATCGTCAACCCATTGTGATGAAGGTATGTGCAAGCGAATTGCACAAGGGTAAGATCGAGGCAAAGTACGGCCTCGTGGACTACATGTTCACCACACGCAAAATCCTGCATGATGTGAAGCTGCAAAACAAGTTCGAGCACGGGGAAAAGGAAGAGATCGTGAAGGTGGTGCAGGACACCCCGAACTGGTTGGAAAAGCCCAAGGTTGCGGATGTGGTCGTGTTTGAGGGCAAGCGGACGGAGCTAGACAGCATTGCTGGCCCCATCGTTGCGAAGGCCTTCGGGCGCGAGTCTTGCAAAGTAAAGCTTGAGGCGAAGCACGGCCTCGGGAACTGATGCTGCACCATCGGCCATACCCTGCAGGAGGAGAAGCAGCGGGGCAATCTCGAGGACGGTGGTGAGGAGAAGCACGACACGGCGGTGCATGACACCCTCTTCTGGGTGAACAAGCCCCAGCTCGCCGACACTCACGCTTTTCAGGGCAAGCAGGAGAAGCTAGGTGGCATCGTAAACCCCATCGTGATGAAGGCGTACCAGGGCTCTGGCGACGGCGCGAAGCTCGTGAACTGTGCCGAGTCCGTCGAGGGCAACTCCGAGAGCAGCAAGGAGCTGAGGAACCAGGTCCAAGCCCAGGTCCCGCAGACCAAGGATGCGGTCATGAACAACACGATGGTGGGGCGCGTGGCGGAGGGCGACGACCCCGTCCAGGAGGGCCGACCGGGTTTGCATCGCCCCGGGGGTGGAGGCCATGACCTTCGCGCCCGCGATCGTGGCTCCGGACGGCGGCCCGTGGAGCCCTGCCCGCGACGTCCTGCGGGAGAGAGGCCACGAAGGTGCCCAAGTGCGACAGGTGCGTCCGCATCCTCGCAGCGGGCCGCACGGCAGACTGGCGAGCCTGCTCGTGCGCTGGCGGCGCGGCGACGGGTCTTCTTCGGTGACGGCCCTGGGCCGTCCCTCTCCGTCCTCCTCCCGTCAGCGCCGGCGACGGCATGGCGGGCCCTGCTGGAGGGCTGCCGGAAAAAGAAGGAGTCGGTCGACGGTGCCCCCCAAAAAACAGCACCAGCAAAAAACAGCACACAAAAATCCTCCTCGTCACGATGATTATTCCAAACAGTGCCGCTCACGACAGAGCAGCCCGCGCGCTTCGCACACGGTGCCGCGCATTGAAGAGAACCTCGAGCCGCTGCCCACTTCTCTACCACATGGTTCAGTAACAGCTGTCCGCCGTCACTGCCCCAGAATAGGAACGACGGCCACGGCGGCTTTTCGGGCAGAAGATCGCGACCTACACCATTCGGACCCACTTAAGCGCCGGCTCTGGGGCAGGGAGACAGGGAGGGAGGGAGGGAGGGAGGCAGGGATAGGGGGGAGGAGACAGAGAAAGAGAAGAGGGAAGAGGCAAGGATCAGGAGGGAGGGGGGCGAGAAGGAGAAGGAGCAGACGAGGAGGGAGACGGAGGGAGGGACACGTCCTGCTCCTCGCACGGCCTACCCCGCCTCGCCCGTGTCGCCTCTCCGACACCAGCGGTCTTCTGGCGCCGTGAGCGAGAAAAAGGGCCAAAGGGGTCGCAGGTCACCAAATTAACTTCGCACTCCGCGCCCCGCGAAGCGCGGACGACGACGGACGACAGAAAACGGACGACGGACGACGACGACGACGACGACGACGACGACGACGACGAAGACGACGACGACGACGACGACGACGACGACGACGACGACGACGACGACGACGACGACGACGACGACGGCGCCGGCGGCGGCGACGACGACGGCGCCGGCGGCGGCGGCAGAGGCGGCGGCGGCAGCGGTGGAGGCGGCAGAGGCGGTGGTGGCGGAGGCGGCGGCGGCGGCGGCGACGGCGAAGACGGCGAAGACATATACGTCGCGGCCGCGTCCGCAATGGAGCATCGCAGCCCTCCAGCCGGGCCCGCGAGGCACGAGGCGCCCCTAATCATCTCCGCGCGCCCCGATGGGGCGGCCCTGCCACGGGCTGCGGCGAGGCAACGCAACTCTGCACCGTCGTCGGCGGCGATCGAGGATCGAGGTGCTCTAGCGGCTCGGGCGAACCCGGGTGGGCAGCGCGGGAGGGAGGAGGAGGAGGAGGAGGAGGAGGAGGAGGAGGAGGAGGAGGAGGAGGGAGGAGGAGGAGGGAGGAGGAGGAGGAGGAGGAGGAGGAGGAGGGAGGAGGAGGGAGGAGGAGGGAGGAGGAGGGAGGAGGAAGGAGGAGGATGAGGAGGAGAGGAGGGAGGAGGAGGAGGAGGAAGGGAGGAGGAGGAGGAAGGAGGAAGGAGGAAGTTCTACACATCCTCTTCCCAGGGAGGCGGCGACGACGTCCGAAGAGAGGCAGCGAGGGCCTCCGGAGCTCGCCGCCGGGCGGGGCTCCAAATACCCCTCCCCCTCGCGCCGAGGCAGAACACGACGGACAGGTGATGGCCTCCTCCTCCTCCTCCTCCTCCTCCCCCCTCCCCCTCCCCCCCCCCTCCCCCTCCTCCTCCCTCCTCCTCCTCCTCCTCCTCCTCCTCCTCCTCCTCCTCCTCCTCCTCCTCCTCCTCCTCCTCCTCCTCCTCCTCCCCCTTGTCATCGCCCAGCTGGTTCTCCTCATCGGTTTCCGGGCCCGGGGGCCGTCAGAAGAGCGACTCCAGGGCGAGAGCACGGCCCCGTGTGGAGGCGGTCGAGGCCTCCCGGGGCCCACGCTGTGAGAAGACGTCTCGGCGTCGGTGGTCTTCTGGTGTCTCCCGGGGGGTCCCCCAGGGCTCCTCTGCCTCAGAGAGAGACCAGGCTCCTCTCCTCCAGTGCTGCTCAGTTCTGCTCCGCCCACATGAGGTCCCCCGGGAGGTCCCCCACGGGTCCCCAAGAGGCCTGAAGAGACCCCGACGAAGGGCCGGCTGAGACGCCCAGGGACCGCGGTCCTCGACGGCGAGGGCGACGACGCGGATGCGGCCGCAAGTTCAGAAAGGCCCTATGAGCAAAGAGCGACCACTGGTGCGCGGCTTGCCGATCTTCGCGAGCGATGCGACGTGGCCCCCCGGAAGCCGCATGACGAAGAGGTCACTCCGGCGAAGGGTCACTCTTACGACGTATAGCCGAAGGACGTCAGGGGATCCCCCTGGATGTATATAGAGCAGCTCGTTGTTTCGGGCCTGGAGCTCCCGACCGAGTCGTTCTTGGACACGGAGGCAGGACAAAGAAATTCTGATAAGAAGGACAAGTCGGGAATATCTGAAAGCCCGCGGGTCTCAAGGATATATCGGGCGCCGTGTCCGTTTCAGACCATTCCTGAACGCCCGGAGAGCGTTCCAGAACGCTGTGGAGCGACTTATCGTCATCCCAGGCCTGCCTGATTCTTGGACGGCCCTGGGGCTGGAAACGGCCTTCGACCACCGAGACGGCGAGAACCAACAAGAGAACAAGAACGGCCCGAAGTTCTGGAACCGCCCAGCGGCGTCCAAGGGCCCAACACGCGTCCACCGAGGTCCGACAACGCACAAGAAAAGCTCCTAAAACTTCCAAAGAACGACGACGACGACGACGACGACGACGACGACGACGACGACGACGACGACGACGACGACGACGACGATAGAAGAAGAAAAACGCCATAAACATAAACTTTTGGCGCTCCGCGCGGATGTCTGGGATCTACGATGGACCCCTCCCTGGCGCGCGAAGCGTGCCAGGGGCGGCGCCAAAGGCGCCGCCGGGGGGGCCAAGCGCGGATCCAATAAATCCGCGCGGAGCGCCACAAGTTTATGTTTATGGCGTCCATTCTTCTTGTTCGACACGACGACGACGACGACGACGACGACGACGACGACGACGACGACGACGACGAGCCCCGTTTGAGAAACCAACCAGGTCTGGAGCGGGTGCAGCTGGCTCCGCCCTCCTCTGGCCGCAGGCGGCAGGCTGGGCACGGCGAGGGGCGGGCGGGCCAGGTCCACGTGCGTGTCCCTGGAGCTGTCGTGCTCGTCGAAGCCTCCCGCCGCCGCCGCCGCCGTCGGCGTGCTCGTCGTCGCGGCCGCAGGCAGGAATGGAGGACGAGGGAGAGTAAGAGGAGGAGGAGGCGGAGGAGGACGGGGAGCAGGGGGGGGGGTAGAAAGCGGCGGAGGGGGGTGGGGGGGGGGGGGGCGACAACGGAGGGAGAGGGGATGAGGACACTGAGGAGGACTCGGAGGGGTGACGGAGGAGACGACTAGGGGGGGACAAGGAGGTGAAGCAGGGGGAGGATAAACATGAGGAGGAGGAGGAGGAGGAGAAGGAGGAGGAGGAGGACGGAGGAGGAGGAGGAGGAGGAGGAGGAGGAGGAGGAGGAGAAGGAGGAGGAGGAGGAGGGAGGAGGGAGGAGGAGGAGGCGGCGGCGGAGCAGGAAGAGGAGGAACTGAAGAAGAAGGGGGGAGGAGAAGGGAGGAGAAGGAGCTGGAAAGAAGAAGCGGCAGCGGGCACGGAAGGTGAAGGGGAGCACTGCTGCGCTCGCATGCTCAGTCCGCCGGGGGCGCCCGCGCACACTGATCCGCTTGCCGCGACGCCCTACAGGCCTACACACCTCTCCCTCTCCCTCTCTCTCTCTTTTCTCTCTCTCTCTCTCTCTCTCTCTCCCTCTCTCTCTCTCGCTCTCTCTCTCTCTCTCTCTCTCTCTCTCTCTCTCTCTCTATATATATATACACACACTAGAAACACGCGCACTTCGCGCGCACTTCGGTTCTAGTCACGGCTGCGCCACGTTTTGCTGCTTTCGTTTACGCTCGTGTGATCATCGACGACCACAGGGGCGGCGACGAGCGACGACGAAGGCGACAACAACGATGACGACGACGACGATCACGACGACGACGACGTCCACACAGAGATTCGGTCTGGAGCTGTCCTCCTCCTCCTCCTCCTCCTCTTCTTCCCTCCTCTGTCCTTCCTCTGCGCCTCCACCTCCTGCACCTCCGCCTCTCCATCCTCCTGTTTGTCCTTGCCTTGCTCCCGCCCCCGCGTGGGCCGAGTCAAGGCAGGATGTGGCCGCGGTCCCCGCCCGGGGTCCCGACGCACCGTCGCCGACGACGCCGACGCCGACAACGACCTCGGCGGTCACACATAGACATCTGCTCCGGATGCGTCCCTGGACCCCTTTCCGGGGTCTGTTCGGTGCCGTTGATTGTCCCAGAACCTGTGGGGATCCTGGGGTCCAAGGACGGCCCATGGAGGCTGAAAACAATCAAAAACGTCCTTGAACCCCGATCCTCAATGGATTGGTCCGCGACGGCGACGGCGACGGCGACAACGGCTGCGACGGCGACGACGACGACGTCGACGACGGCGACGACGACGGCGACGACGACCGCGACGACGACACGACGATGATGACAGCGACATCAACGGCGACGACGGCGACGGCGACGTCGCCGGGCACGGCGATGAAGACGGCGGCCACGACGACGACGACGACGACGGCGGCAACGACCGCGACGACGACGACAACGACGACCACGACGTCGACCACGACGTCGACGACGACGAAAACGGAAGCCGAAAACGGCCGGGAACCTCTCGCCGTGTTTTTCTCACGACGGGACAGGTCTGGGGGGAGGGGAGAGAAGGAGGGAGGGAGGGATGCCCGATCACCCGACGTCGTTCTTGTTGCTACTTCGGCTCCCGGAGGTCGGGACGCCTTCTCCGGGACCGGTCTTGCATCTTCGTTTTTTGATGGTCCCGGGGCCGGCTGAAGGCCACCGGTGGCCGCAAACGGCCGCGTCGTGATCCTTTGATGACGCGAGGGGGTCTGGGGGGAGGGGTGACAGGAGGGAGGCGCCCAGTCTTCCGGCGCCGTGATTTTTTCG